TTAAACTTTGAATTCCCTTGATAAATATTTTTTTAATATTTAACATATGCAATAATCCGTTTGCACACAGTTACCATGCTACTTGAGATCATGGAATTAATTTAGTTAAAGAATCCTTCTCGGCTTTGGAGAGCAGCCTCCCCTTAGCAGCTGCTGTTCCCCTGGAGGAGACAAGAACAGCTGGAAGGTGCACCCTGTCCCCTCTGTCTGTCACAGCCACAGCCAGGCTGTTTGCGGCAGCCCGTGAGGTGCAGGGGGACAGGTGTGGTGGCTTTGCTGCCAGCGGGAGGTGTGGCAGGGGTGACGCGCCAGGTGCTGCCACCGGACTGGGATGGGAACAGCAAGGATTTGGCTTCCTCCGCGGTTGTGCAGGCCGCCTGCAATTTAGGCAGGAATTACATGAACTCGTGCAGTCCATTCATAGAAATGCTGATTAAGTTTGGGAGCAACCACTTTGAACTACCTGCCAAGAGCAAAAACTATTCCTTTGTGCGTTGTCAGCCGCAAGGAACTCAGTCTGGAACTATTTTACCGAAGTTTTACATGTCTGAGTTTAATACCGAGATTATAAAGTTAGGGCAGAGCTCACCCCAACTGCCAAACTGTGTGAAGACGCGAACGGTGAGTTAGCTTTGATCCAACACACATCTGAAATACACCTTCGGTTACATCTAACACCAGCTGGGTACAGCTTAAAAAGGAGTTGGCTGCACACCCCATTTACCACATACCAGTCTCCATGTAAACAAAAAGAGCAAAGCACTGTTTATATTGCACTTGCTGATGTGTTCCCTCACAGCCCACCATCACCCTTCAGCGCCTCGGGGCAGCTGGAGCACAGCTCCTCATAGTCCCTTCGCCCCTCTCCCGCAAGAGAAGTAAGAAGCTCCAGAGGCTGGATATCCTGCTCACACTTGGATTCCCCCTCACTTCCAAGGAATACTACAGTAAAGTGTGATAAACAGGAAACAATACATTTAAGAATTCCGTAAGTTTGTGTTTAGTAACAGAAATGGACAATGAATGTGTGGAAATTCCCTCTCTTGACCCTTCCAAGGTGAAAGCTGGGGGCATTACGGGGAGTTACGGCAGGAGAGGACAGGGAGTACCAAATGTCATTGTGCTGACTAAGGATTTATGTAATTAGATATATCTGGAGGAAAGGATTAACTCAACGTCATGATACCGCCTGAATCAACTTTGCATAGTTAAACTGCAGGGATATCTCAGTTTATAGGCTACACGTTTACAGTATAAACAGTGGCTGACTCATCAAGGCAAATATGTATCAGGTACAGTCTCAAACAGCAGCAGAATGCAAGAACAAAAATGGAAAAAAACAAGACTGAATGATTTTAGACTTTATGGGAGCTTGTTTCCACTGCCTGATTATAAAACAAAAATAATTTCCATTCTTTAATATCTTTTACCTAGGAGTCAACTTTAATGTCCAATTTAAAATGCTGCAGTAAGGAAACAAAGGGTTGAAAAGAGGTGCTGGCTGACGCTGTGTTGCAGTTTTACAGTCACTGCGTGTGCGGTGCCTTCCAACCAGAGGAGCTCACCATTGCCCAGCCCTCAAAAATCTTTGTTCCCTTCCCACTCCTGTGCTACCTCCTCTCTTTGTCAGTAATTGATGCAGCCACATAGTAATTTGTACCAGGAAACACACCTAGTATAAAAACAACCTGCGAAAAAAAGGGACTGCAATTAAAAACCAAGAGTGTCATATATTAGAGAAACTGTCGCAGAATATTCCTGTATATCTGCCAACTCAATAATGTTCATGATGATCTGCTAACTAAGTGCTGGCTGTGAGGACTGCAGTAGCCTGGGGCTACTGGAAGTTACACATCTATTTTTCCAGAATGTCAGAACACTTTGGGAATTAAACAAGTGAAAATCATTCCATCAACTTCTGCTTTTTTTCCTTCTCCTCTCACCCCACAAGGTATTCCTGCCTTGTCCACACAACCCAGCCCCTTCCCAAAATACCTAAGGAATGCCTAAATAGGATTATAAACGTTAGTATGTTTGAAAAAAAAGAAAGGAATGTTTTATCAATGTTTTCTTATTTTAATCCTATAAGAGTTAGCTAGAGTCGAGCTTCAGCAAAACAGAGTTCTTAAAGCTTAATAACCAAGTGGAAGAGTGTATTTTGCTAAATTTAAATTGAAGCCCAGAATGTATTTAAATTACCATATTGTTGCCACACAAAGCTTAGGCTTCTCCTGTGTTTAATAATGCCTTTCATTATGCAATCCGGAGTAAAGAGCAAAAGGGACATGGTCCAAAATAACCCTAACAATTTGCAAACAGTAACGCTCACAGTGTATTATAAATGGAGAGCGACAATCTAATTTTCTCTTTCAACCATTGCTGCATACTAACTATACACCAGAATAGAAAAGTTTAGAAAACAATATCCTGACTGGTCTGACAGCTGCAGTAATGAACCCTTGAAAAGAGCACAGAGTGATTCCCACCTGGAGCGTTAAAACAATTTAGATTTTTGACAAGAAGAACATGGGTTGGGCTTTTAACACATGTCCTTGGAAATACTGATCCTTTAGTATCTTCTAAGGGAGTCTTCTAAGAAGAGGTCACTGAGGAGTCACAATCCCTCTTAGTTCAAAATGGGCCAGTCATGCTCTCCAGCTCATCCAGCTTGACCTCAGCAGCCTTCACTCCTAGCTTTTTCCATGCTTTATATTCTGCCTCCAACTTCTCTTGCATTTATTTCTCCTCTCCATCCTCTCAGTTCTGCACCATGTTTCCCCCGTACACTAAAGAGTTTAACAAGGCAGGCTGTGAATGCCCCAGCCCTGCCACTCCACCTTTTCTGTTCAGCTGCCTCCAATGGGAGGAAAGCAGCGTCCAGAAGAGGAGCAGCCTCCAAAAGAGGATGTTTTGTGGCAAAGTCAGTCCTCAAAGGACAGACTGGAGTTCAGAGAAGTCAGCATTTGCAGACAGGGGACTAGTTGGCAGCAATACCAGCAACCAGGAAAGGAACACATGCAGAGATTCCTGTGGCCTTTCCTTCCCCCATCTGGAAGAAAAGTTTGGAGACAGAAGAAAGGATTGCTCTGCTTTGTGGCCTTGTATTTTTTTCCTTTCTGTTTTTAGCAGTCTTGAAAAAATGAGTAAGAAAACAAGAATGTATGCTTCTTACCAGAAGTATCCAAAAGAAGAACAAAGACACAGTCCTTTCCTGATATATAACACAAGAGTTCAGAGTCCTGCAGAAATAAACCAGGATTTGATAACATCCAGCCCCATCTTCCATTTAAGCAATGTTTCCAGTTGGGAAAAAGGGTAAGCTCAACAGTTAATCCTGTAATTGTGTATAAACACAACTATAATAAAAATAACTTTAAAGTATCTCAGTGAATAGAGGGGCTCAACACAGGAAAAAGTCTTCAGTAGCTCATGTGTCTAGAGGAGTATTTCTTTTGGGCAACGAAGGAGCTATTTTGTTGCTTAGAATGCAAATATACACATCCCATGCCAATAAAAAAGGTACTATTCAGCCAGTGAGTATCTACAGGTATAAGGCAGAAGAAATGGGCATGTCCATCCTACTTCATGTAGCGGCTCCACACTCTGAAAACCAGGATTCAGATAACAGAAGCAGCAAAAGCGTAGCTGGCAGAAGCACCGATCTGCAGACGTACAGAACAACCTAAATGGAAAGCTGACGCCTGCTGGAGCTTCCTGGCATGATGGATCCAAAAGTCTTTCCAACAGCAGAAGCTAAGGAGGAACTCGCAGGCAGTTTATGCTGCTCACCATGCTACTGTCTCCTAGTAACACTTCTGATCAGGAATCAGCAGTAATGAACCATCAAAACCAGGCTGGGTCTTTGTTCCACTGCCTCCAGCTCTCACCCTGTTCAGAGTTCCCACACCGGGAAGGCAGGCACTGAGGAAGGACAAACGTTTATCTTCCCCCTCTCTGGCAGCATCTTTGGCAGATCTTAAAACACTGTGCCATTATATGCTGCCTGGGATTCTTCTCAGATAACCAACACTTCCTCCCTCTTCCCACCAAAACAATTTGTAAACTTCCTTTTCTACTTTCATAGTAACGCAAGTACCTTCTTTGTGAGCCAGCATCTCATGAAACTTCACTGCTGCTCTCAGACATCTTTCAGCAAGTTTATCAAATCTCCACAGCTCACCTGCTTTTATCTACATATATGAAAGCATATCCTGCTTCCTGAGAATAGTTTAAAAATAGTTCTTAGAACAAAATGTATTTCTTGTAATTACTAGAAGTAAATTCCTTCCTTCATTATCAAGATCATTTGTAACTTAGTTTTAATTTCAGGAGTGTGAAAACTTAAATTCTGGCTTTGGAGTACATGCAAGTAGCTAGTTTGTTGCTACTAATTTAAAGTAAATATTTGATTGACAAAAAAAATACATTAAGCCACTTCTTAGTGAAATGGTAAAAAGGGAGTACCGAGAATTCTCAAAACTAGATATTGGCTATAAGTCACCAAGTGGAAAGAACTGATGCCTTTGGAAAAACCGGACTCAAATACTTAAGGCAATAGGAAGGGAAATAAAATTTAAACTTGTACAACATATGGTTTGAACCAAGTAAGGGATTATTTTAAGAAGAACTCTCACCAGCATAACTATATCAGACTAAATTTTCTATGTGGTAGGTCTACTCTGTTCCCCCAAATCCCTATTATTATTAAAAAACACACACTCACACAGTGTATGTTGTTATTCCTGATACGTTAGCTGTAACTACAAGCACTGCTTACATGAGGAAATTGAGGTCTGATTTTTAATGGCTAATGTGTAAGAAGAACCATGTACCCATTGATCATTTTTAATTTGTGAAGTCTAGATAATTCTTTTAACTGCACTGTCACATGCTACAAAAATGTTTGATCAGTTTCTCACCAGGATAAGTAATAATGAGGCACTCACAGGTTTACAATCAGCATACACAAATCTCTTAATGAATATTTAACAAGCACTTACATTTTCACACTGCGTCTTTCTGGGTTTTATGTGGGAAACATTGAGTCCATCGATAACAATATCAAACGGAAGTCGATTTTCCACAAATGTCTGAAAGGCTTCAAATTCCTGAAATAAACAAACATAAGGGAATAACATGTTGAGTTTAACAGAAAGAGATTTCATCCACTTTTTATTAAAGAAAGAAACAAAGTCTCAATTTCTCACTTTTCCTTTGTTTGCTACACTTCACATATGTTGCATATCTTCTAAATCAACTACACCAAACAAATCTTTTAAAGCATTAAGCGTTACAGTGGATACTTCCAATACAATTTTAAACTGTATTACAATCAAACCCCAAAACTTTACAGTCATCCAAAATTATCATCCAAACTTATAATCCAAACTGTGCAGTTCAATCAAGATCCATGTTTTAGTCATTGTTATGCTACAGCTGCATAACACTGTGACACTGCCAGGAGGGTCCTGCTGAGAGGCACCAGGATAGGCTCAGCACCTCTCATAAGCCAGCTCCTGGCTCTCTGGGGTTTATTTTTGGAGCAGGGGAGACACTGCAGCCTTTTCCATATTGTTCCCTTGGCCACCCCACTTTTATCTGCCATCTCCTTCTGTCTATGTTTCCTACTCTGTTCTCAACAGACACTTGCGAGTGTGCCCCTGCCAGCCTCCAGGATCCACTCAATTGTTCTGCCTCGCTACCAGTAAACTGTGCAATACACAGGGAGAAGGTTTGCTGGCACAGGAGACTCTTACCCACCCAGGGAGATGAGGAGTTAATAGCACAGTAAGTACAGAAGACAAATGGCTAAGTTTATGTCACCAAATACAGAAGACTCCAGTCAAAAGCCTTAGCCAGGCTAAAAATCCCCAAGGATTGGTTCATTTTCTCCTTGCAACACACGAGCGCTCCATTCCTTTTTAAAAAAAAAAAAAAAAAAAAAGCAAACCATAAAGAACAACAGAGAAGATCCAGGTGTGCTCCCCTGAGAAACAGTTTTCGAGTCACCATATTTCCCACCCTCTCCAGACACGTGAAGCCTGGGCACACGCAGTGGGCTACGTCATCCCGGTGCAGTGCAAAGGGTTACTCAGACACACACAGACCTCCACCGGAAGAGTGTAACGGGTCTGGCTGAGATGGAGTTAATTTTCCCCATGGCAGCCCTCAGTGCTCTGCTTTCATTGCTAGAGAGGTGCTAACAAGACACCCGTGCTCCTTCGAGTGCTGGCACAGCACCGTGGCTGTCTCTCCAACACTCCCCTCTCACCAGAGGGCTGGGGGTGGGCAAGATCTTGGGAGGGGACACAGCCAGGACAGCTGACCCAAAGTGACCAAAGGGATATGCCATACCTTATGACATCTGCTCAGCAATAAAAGCTGATAAAGCTGATTTTAATAACATGTAGGGGGGAAATCATTACGATGCTTGTGTTCTACAGCAGCCACTACACCTCTTGAAGCCCACTTCCAAGGAAGTGGCTGGACGTTGCCTGCTAGCAGGAAGTAAAGAATAAATCTTCTATTATCTTTTGCTTCCACGTGCTGCTTCTACTTTATTAAACTGTCTTTATCTCGATGCACAACTTTTTTCCATCTTATTTTCACCTCACGCATCACCCTCTGCCCTGTCTTGCTGAGGATGAGAGTGATAGAGCAGCTTGATGGGCACCTGGCATCCAGCCAAGATCAACCCACCATGCAGACAGAAAGCGTACAATTCGGAGGATGCTGATCTTTCAAACACAGGGATTTGTCTGGATTTTATACAGGTCTTTCTTAGAGCCACAGTACTAAAGAGATGATTTACCCACAAGTCTTGAAAGGTATTTCCTGCACTAGCCAACTGGAAGAAGAAACTGAAGATCTTTAAAAGCAGTAAATGAAGCAGAGCACAGCTGCAGCCAGAGTGCAGCGGATCAAGAGAAGCCGGGCACAGTAACCATCGACGCAGCGCTACAATGATGTGGAGGTTGGTTTAGGCAAAAAAGAAATGAGCTACTCACACAGGCTTCCCCTGCCAAGCGGAGAATGCAATGCATGATCTACATACGCCCCTGCCATGCCACAGGAACTTTTACACGGAAAGCTCCTGCTGAGCACAAGACGACGTGTTTCTGACGAATGCTGCCAACACGCCAACAAGTAGCAAAGGATCTCTCTCTCCCCGTCCCTCTCTCTCCAGGTAAGAGCACCAGAACAAACACCGCAAACCGTCACACTGATTTCTAACTTGTTCTGACTGGGTTCATCTCACAAAGTTTCCACGGAAAAGTCCATTCTCCCAGCCTTGGAAATGCTCGAAAAAGCAGCTTCGACAGAACTGGCAACTGAAGGGACAAAACTTTAAACACACATGACCCTCGTAATGCTCGGGAGCCACAGAAAAGTGTTGCAACACAGCAAGGTTGTTACCTCCCTGCAAGACTTCCCACAGCACTTCCCAGGGCGCTGCATGAACAAGTCTCCCTGCCGCAGGGACGTGGCAACGCGCTCACGGGAGGCTCCAGGGATATCCTGTTTCACACCACATACAAAAGAAAGGGAATTTTAAAAGACTCACTTGATTTCATTCATTGCCTAGCTGGGAAAATAGGGGAATGCCAACTACGCAACCGTTAGAAATGATTCACTTCACCTTCTACCGGGAAACCTTATGTTTGCAAATAGACACCACACTGACTAAATCATTTTGGACGTAAGAGCCAGATGGGACGTAAGAGCAGGAGTCTCCTTCTCTGGAGACTTTCAAAACCCACCTGGATGCGTTCCTGTGTGGCCTGTGCTCCTGCTCTGCCAGGGGGTTGGACTAGATGATCTCGAGAGGTCCCTTCCAAACCCAAACATTCTATGATCCTATGATAACAAACCCGTGATGGAATTTTTCTTGATGCGAAGAATTAAAGAATTTTAAGAATTTTTTTTTTATTTAACCACTAGCGAGTGGGTGGCTCAAGTCCATTCACATCTCGGCAAAAGCACAAAACAGTCCCACATTTTTTTGGTACTCAACACCAGCCGGATGACTAGTGTGCTATTTCATCATCATTTTACACCGGTATGTACTGGTGTTGCTATAGAAAGAGGTGTTTCTACCCTCACCCTTTCCTCAGCCACGCGTTCCTAGCCTTGCCCCCTCCTTTACCTATGCAACCACGTTTGTTGGCAGAAGGAGGAAGACTGAAGTAGATGAAGAACTGAGTCACCATCAGTCAATGAACAGTCCTCAGCCTGCACCAGTGCCCCTGCTCAGGTCAGAGCAGAGGTTTGTCCTGGCGTGAAAACTCAGCCAAGACATGGAATAAGAATGAGACCAGTAGCGAGATAAGTGGGATCACCTTTTCCCACGGGTAGCAGTGACTATGCTAATTTACTGGATTGTGAAACCCCAATGTGAGATTTATCTCACAGCTTGGGGTATTGCAGCAAAATATGAGACAGGTTGATTTTAAAAAAAAAACAGGAGTGTAAGACTCATTGTTTGAAAAGGAAAGAAATAAAGAAAAAAGGTTAGTTTTGTCATTTTAAATAATTCATTAAAAATCATAATAAAAAAGTGTGACCTCAGACTTCAAACGACTGGCTTTCACAGCCAATAATATCTGAAACAGCAGAAGTAATAAAATAAAATAGCAGTTTTCTGTAAGAGTATTAATACTATTTCAACTTCTGTAAATACACGATAAATAGAAATGTTATGTTTTTCTTTCAGTATCAGTGCACATACAGACTACGAGCCTCAAAAGCACAATAAAAATAGGAAAGGAATTATTAGTATTGACAAATTTACTACATTAAATATGATAACATAGAACCAAACATCACAACTGAAGACAAAGCAAAGAAAATATAGCTGAACAAGCACGTCTTTTGATAACAGCAGTGAGAGTAATCCAGATTAGTATTTTGAAATAATTTCAATGTCTATAACAGATCTAAGGGTATGACAAGTTTCAGATCACAGAAAAGTTAGATCACTTGAGCATTTATCTCCTCAAGTCTAAATGGGAAATACGTTGGCAACTAGAAATAAAATCATGGTATTGCTCAAATTCTTCAACATTTCATATGTCTACTGATCTGAACACCAAAACCCAAAGTTATGTAACATACAAAGGAGATACATGAGTAAATCCTCAGAGGACTTTTAAATACAAGAAAGGCTGTTATGTTCATGCCAACACATGGAATTCGGGAGAAAAAAAAAGAAGAAAAAAGAAACCCCCCTACCAAAAGCTATTAAAATCACTGCAGGAAAGGCTGCTTGTCGCTTCTACTAAACAATGATGTTTACGCTTACTCATCAGGAATGGCACAAAGACACGAAAAGCAACATTTAGAAGTGCAAAACTACAGTTTTTAACATATATTCTTTCCAGAAGCATTCACAGTAGTTTAAGCTTTGTGCAACTGAAGAAGCAGTGCTTCCCCTCTCCGTATTAGATGGCAACATACTAAAGTGTAAGGAAAGAGGGAATTTGAATTAACAGAAGTAATTAAGTATTATGTAAGTACTGTGTAATTCTACCCTAAGTATCAAACAAGGTGTTCTTCAACACTGTAAGAGCAGCTTTTAAAGAAGTGAAAACATTCACTTTTTAATAGTTTCATAAAACACGAAGTGATGGGGGTTGCCTTGTTTTCAGCAACATTTCTTGGTATCAGAAGAAAAACACAGGAATGAGCATTAGAGCGTGAGAAATAAAACTCAGCTGTCAAACTGAAATCCAGCCAACTTTTTTCAAGGCGCCTCGCTGGAGCACTCTTACGTCTGTTTGTTGCTCTGCCTGAAGGGTTTGAATATTTCCCCCATAGTTTCAAAGTCTGGAAATCCCCTTCAAACCCTTATAAGCAGGAAGGCTTTTCTGAGTACTGTGTACAGCATCGCTATGTACTCTGGATCGCGTACAATTTGTTTGACCTCTGTTATATCCTTCTAAAGCTAACAATAATCCAGGAGTTGCAAGCTCCCGTGGCTGTAGCCTTCAGAGACTCTGTCACAAACAGGAAGATGCTCGCAGGCACTGACAGCCTGCCTGAGGTGTGCCCTGTGGTGCCTTTTCCTACTCCTGTCACCAGCTTCTGCAATGCCCCTCTGGAGCACACT